CCCCTAACTGACCTCCGGGATGTGCCCCGGTCGTGGGGTGACCCCTATCTGACCTCCGGGATGTGGTCTGCTAGTGGGGCGCCCCGCCCTTACCTCAGGGATGTCCTTTGCTCGTGGGGAGCGTTCCTGGCGTGACAGGCCGGCACAGATCAGTGACAGGTCGTCTGACCAGTCGCAGACCTGTCTGACGAAGATAGGCCTCCACCGCGGTCCAGTCCGTCCGATAAGCCGCCCACACGGCACGGGAGTTTGTTTGAGGGCTGATGCAGTTGCTGTGTCGAGTGTTTACCTGTCGCGCCGTAAGGCAGGACGTGCAGACAGTAATTAAGATTTCCCTTGGGTGCTGTCAGCACTACAATCCATGGTATTCATGGGCCACTTTGGGGCTTGTGCTGTCTGCGAGCCGTCCTTGTGTTATGAGGAAGCACTGAACGCATGAGGACTGCGGTCGGCCATGGACATTGGACAAGACTTTGGATAATGCCGTAGATGGTTATTGGTGGTTTGACAATAAGGTGAACCGGTCAATCTGCACCCGATAAATAGCCAAAGAAGGTGGTGTTTTATTGACAAAATTTTAAGCAGCGCTTTTATACCTACTTGAGAAACTTTGGAGTGCGGCAGGAGCTCAAAGAGTTCGCCAAGCTTGCATGTAGATTGAGGATGATAATTTTGCAATAGAAGACATTCATTATGATAGCGATATCCAATTATGCGGTTGGATTTCGCAGTCACGCAATCTACCAACATTTACCGAGCTGAATATCACAGTCCATCACCAAACACAGTGGTTTCCCAACAGACCACGGTATTGCTAGCACGGTATATTTACTCGGGGGGGGGGGGGGGGGGGGCTGAGTGAATGGTGGTGGAGCTTTACGAGTATCTGTCCCGGTGTGTACTGGTCTGGACCAGTCTCTCACCAGCTCATCAGCTCAGCGGCTCAGCGGCTCAGCGGCTCAGCGGCTCAGCGGCTCAGCCGCTCGGGTGGCTCTCGGTCACCCCAGCCGGGCCGCTACTGCCGCGGTGGGGGAGGGCGATCGATTGATAAACGTTCGCCACCCCTCCCAGCCTTCCGACCCGACCCGGCCCCACCGACCCCACGGCCCACCCGCTCCAGCTGAGTACGGTCGACAGATGAACACGGAAAAAAGCCTGCCCTCGTCCCGAGCAGTCTTTTATGTACAACGGCGCAGCGGGGGGGGGGGGGGGCAGATAAGTCATCCTCATCGGACATGTATTTTTGGGGAGGGGGATTCCTGCGCGTGAATCAATATTTAACTATCACATAGCCATGGGAAGACAACATTTAACATTGTCATTCTCCCGTTTAGTTTCGGCTTTCACCTGCCGTGTTCTTATGGTGATCCATTACCTTCCATCTTCACTCTCCCTCGGCAATCGCATGGCTCGTAGCTGAGAGCGCCTGCCATACTAAAGGCGAGGCGCTCAGAACGTAATGCTAAGATCACTACTTACTCAGTTCAGCACTCAGGCCTCAGAGTGTCGTGCTCGTATGACCGTGCTCGTATGACCGTGCTCATGGAGCCGTGCTCAGAGCGGTGTGCTCAGAGCGGCGTTCTCAATTCCTGGGCCGTCTCAGCCCGCGGTAATCTGCATTGATTGCCACGGCCGGTCTGCCGGGTGGGGTATATTCCGTCCACACAGACTGCGGGTGGGGGCCCGCTGGGTGCGGCCCGCTCGGACAATATTTACCCGGGGAGGGGGCAGAACTACGGCGCCGAGCCGTTCCCCGTCGGCGCTCGACGCGGCGGGGACAGCAGAGCGCCGACCATGTCGGCGTGATGTGATTTTGGGGATGGAATGCGCTTTTGCATGCTATTTTCGCCCCGCAAACACTTTGCTGTTCTACTGCGCTGCGCAAATCTGACATAGGTATGCATGGGATCTAACTTTCTAACTTATAACAGCTGGATAGTTTCTTTGTGTTCTCAAGTATAGTCGACAGCTCAATGAAGTGCACGCCATAGCGGCAGTGTGATTCGCTATTCAGCTGCTTAGCCGACCCAACGGAAAAGCACAAATGTTTATTGTCAGATCGACACCCTTACGATTCCATGAGAATGCGTTTTATTGCACTATATTCTGCTTAGATTTATATAATCACTGTTCGTTTCTCATATTTGTTGGGATTATATCACCAGTATAGAGTAGTTGATGATCATCCATGAAGTAGCATTGGTAAAAGCTTGCTTCCGTACTTGAGATCAGGGCCATCCAAATATGTAGAGGCATGGTTCGCCTTTTGAAAAGGCAGAATGCTATTTTCCCCGGTGACTAGCTTTAGTCCTCTCACCGCGCCTTCCCTACTGAATAGAGGTCCTGCTTTAGCCGTGCCCTGCACTACGCTAATGATGACCCTGTTTTGCCAAAAGTCACGTTCAACGAACGAAGTGGTGCTGCATGTATGCACACAGACTATATCACCCGGAATGCAGCCAAATAAATATGAAAAGGGTTTGCTTTGTAATGCTCGCTTTATTCTTTTCGGTCGTGCAAGGCACCTATTTCAAATGCTTCCATTTCTTCCTGCAAGCTGTTACGTGCAAAATGTTTGCCTAATGTCCAACCTAATAGCTCAGTGTGAAGGAAGTATATCGACCGAACGTGGCGTGAGCCGATTCGGGTGTCGTCTTGTTTCTGACGGGGACAGCTACCATGGTATTGTACCCAATCGTTACTTTGTAAAAAGCCCCAAATGAACTGGAGTCGTGGTGTCGGACAATGTGGACGCGGTAAATGCTCGATGCTTTATTCCACCGTTTATTCGTAGAGTCCTTATCGGATGGTATATGGCCGCGGACCAGACAGCCACCATATTTCAATGCCACGCCACAACAGCGACGTAAATTTACAGCACATCATGTATGTAAGCGGAATAATAAGCGTGCATATCGGTATTATGTCAATGGCTGATAAAGTATGCGGCTAGCGATAAGTCATGCATATGTCAATAGCCTTGGGAGCGTGTCATAAGCTGCAATAAACGGTAAACGGTAAACGTCCGTAGCGGTTTCACCCGTGGCGCTAATGTGGATGTGTCCCCTCACCTCACTGCATACGGACATTGACCTATAAGGTAATTGGATAATAAAGCTGGCGGCTGACTATACAGGGTATCCTGTTCCATTTCCTACATGTTTGCGTCCTCTCGCAAGCCCCGCGGTGGTGTCCTGGCACAGTTGGATCCACTTTTCCGCTGGCAGGTCCATGTCCTTGATCACTGGCTCATGACTTCTACATAGTTGACTTTGTTTGTTCCCCTCCGTCACTGACTGCTGGTCTCCCCTGACTTCCCGTTCTCTCTCTCTCTCTCTCTCTCTCTCTCTCTCTCTCTCTCTCTCTCTCTCTCTCTCTCTCTCTCTCTCTCTCTCTCTCTCTCTCTCTCTCTCTCTCTCTCTCTCTCTCTCTCTCTCTCTCCCTCTCTCTTTCTTTCTTCTCTCTCTCTCTCTCTCTCTCTCTCTCTCTCTCTCTCTCTCTCTCTCTCTCTCTCTCTCTCTCTCTCTCTCTCGGCAGTTCACACGGTCCTTACCTGTTTAGTACCTGTCTCCCCCCTCTGACTGACTCCCCGAGTTCTCTCTCTGTCGACAGCGGCAGCTCGCGCGGTCCCTCCCTCCCCCTCTGACTCCCCGAGTTCTCTCTCTGTCGACAGCGGCAGCTCGCGCGGTCCCTCCCTCCCTCTGACTCCCCGAGTTCTCTCTCTGTCGACAGCGGCAGCTCGCGCGGTCCCTCCCTCCCTCTGACTCCCCGAGTTCTCTCTCTGTCGACAGCGGCAGCTCGCGCGGTCCCTCCCTCCCCCTCTGACTCCCCGAGTTCTCTCTCTGTCGACAGCGGCAGCTCGCGCGGTCCCTCCCTCCCTCTGACTCCCCGAGTTCTCTCTCTGTCGACAGCGGCAGCTCGCGCGGTCCCTCCCTCCCTCTGACTCCCCGAGTTCTCTCTCTGTCGACAGCGGCAGCTCGCGCGGTCCCTCCCTCCCCCTCTGACTCCCCGAGTTCTCTCTCTGTCGACAGCGGCAGCTCGCGCGGTCCCTCCCTCCCTCTGACTCCCCGAGTTCTCTCTCTGTCGACAGCGGCAGCTCGCGCGGTCCCTCCCTCCCCCTCTGACTCCCCGAGTTCTCTCTCTGTCGACAGCGGCAGCTCGCGCGGTCCCTCCCTCCCCCTCTGACTCCCCGAGTTCTCTCTCTGTCGACAGCGGCAGCTCGCGCGGTCCCTCCCTCCCTCTGACTCCCCGAGTTCTCTCTCTGTCGACAGCGGCAGCTCGCGCGGTCCCTCCCTCCCTCTGACTCCCCGAGTTCTCTCTCTGTCGACAGCGGCAGCTCGCGCGGTCCCTCTCTCCCCCTCTGACTCCCCGAGTTCTCTCTCTGTCGACAGCGGCAGCTCGCGCGGTCCCTCCCTCCCCCTCTGACTCCCCGAGTTCTCTCTCTCTGTCGACAGCGGCAGCTCGCGCGGTCCCTCCCTCCCCCTCTGACTCCCCGAGTTCTCTCTCTCTCTGTCGACAGCGGCAGCTCGCGCGGTCCCTCCCTCCCTCTGACTCCCCGAGTTCTCTCTCTGTCGACAGCGGCAGCTCGCGCGGTCCCTCCCTTCCCCTCTGACTCCCCGAGTTATCTCTCTGTCGACAGCGGCAGCTCGCGCGGTCCCTCCCTCCCCCTCTGACTCCCCGAGTTCTCTCTCTGTCGACAGCGGCAGCTCGCGCGGTCCCTCCCCCCCTCTGACTCCCCGAGTTCTCTCTCTGTCGACAGCGGCAGCTCGCGCGGTCCCTCCCTCCCTCTGACTCCCCGAGTTCTCTCTCTGTCGACAGCGGCAGCTCGCGCGGTCCCTCCATCCCCCTCTGACTCCCCGAGTTCTCTCTCTGTCGACAGCGGCAGCTCGCGCGGTCCCTCCCTCCCTCTGACTCCCCGAGTTCTCTCTCTGTCGACAGCGGCAGCTCGCGCGGACCCTCCCTCCCCCTCTGAACCCCGCTCTCTCTCTCTCTGTCGACAGCGGCAGCTCGCGCGGACCTCCGTCGATGCCCTGCAGCGCCGGCACCTCCATGGCCAGCTCAGCCAACTCGAGCTGCCTCAACCTCAGCCGGCCGCGGCCCTACGTCGGCCTGATGCTGGGCGCCTCCGGCGTCGGAAAGACATCGCTCATACACCAGTTTATGACGTCCGACTACATGAACGCCTACGACGCATCACTAGGTAGGAAGGAAGGCTGGCATTTGTGGGATGGTTCACGGCTGGATGGGTCGACTGTACACATCAAACGCATTTGTTATTGTTTTTATCTGGGCTGTGCTAACATAAAGACGAAATAAAGCTGTTGTTTTGAGCACGTTCAGTGCACTAGGTCGAATAGAAGCGTAGTCGTTTGGAGGTTGTAGTTTATATTGAACACAAAAGGACCCAGATGAAAGTCGCCTCAGAAGCTGTTGCTAGGCTGACCCAATCTGGGGGGGGGGGGAAGGGGGTGGCGGGGTCGATGGGTGAGGAGGGAGGCTGTCAACTAACCCTCTGAAAACGGCTGCTATTTCCGAACGGGTGAAGGGTGCTCGCTCACTTGACATGGCCTAATGGATTGGCAGATCTCTGAAAGATTTCAACTATTGTGCGGTCCAAGTCCGTTATTTATAGGCAGATAAAATGTTTAGCAGAGCATGCCGTTATCAAGTTGGAATCGTTCAGGGAAACTTTGAGATGATAAATGGCGAGGCAAAAGTGAAGCTTGGTGGGCATCCTAGCGCGATTATGCATGATTTGGCACGATGTGTTTCTGACACATAAGCATAGTGTCCATTATGTAATATGATGTATTCCCGTTAATCCGGCTTAGTGGAAGCAATCTGAGCAATCTTCACTGGTCCTCACGACCCTTCATCTACGATAATGCTCAGGTTAATTGGTTCATCTGGGCGTTTTAGGGGATGCAGATGTGCGGTTATCGATGGAAGGCTGCGATTTGTGGAAAATAATAGACCACGCTCGGGGGTCTGATTTATTACTCAGACCTTCATTGCAACGCTGCGAATCGAAGCTTGCAGCCAGCTGGCCACGTACGGTTCACACCGAACGGGGCTGTAAGAAAATTAGGTTGCTAAGCTGAATGCAATGCCTTAAGTTCACCCAACGTTGGATGCAATAAGATGCATTATGTAATTACATAATACATATAGGTAAGGTAGGAAGGTTAGCGAGCTTCCAAGTTGGTGTTCTATCGTTCGTGTGCCCCCCATTTCAAACCAAATGTTTTTTTTTTGTTTTTAACGAAAAAAATGTCGTTTTTTAAAGAACAACATTAATGAAAAATTTACTCCCTGTTTTTCTTCTGCTTAAATTGCTTTGAAAATGTTCAATTTATTAATTCTTAGCAAAAAATGGAAGTTTACACTTCCGCGACGGGCTTAGTCATGTTTAGCTTTTCGTTTCAGCGCAACTGCATGAAAGTCTAAATATGTAGAATTACTTTGAATGTAAGCACCTACACGTAGAGTAGTTATAACACATCGCCTCTGTAGGCAGGAATGGTGAAGTACATGCGACTGCATAAAATGGTCAAAACGAAGAGGAAGATAACCATTCCTGGACAAATGGGGCTCTTTGTTCTTCTCCTCGTGTTTATTTATGAGCTTATTTTCTCCATTTCAGAAGGGCATTTTCGCTGCAAGCGACGAACATTCCCTGCTTCCATTCAAGGCTTCGAAACACTAAGGAAAGACAAATATTCAAATGCGCACTTGTTTGCATATGAATTGCATCAAGCAGTGGCATCACAACATCACACACAAATAATTTCAGTCCGTGCGCCGCTCTTGTTGCAAGAGGACCGCACCCATTCCGCGCTTATCGTGCATGATTTAGTAACTTGGCTTACGTGGCTCAGTCGAAAACTCATTTACTCTTACACCGTTGTGTATGTTTGCACGCACAGTCACTCCTCCCTTCCCGGACTCTGAGCAGCAAAAGAATTCCTTTCCATACCTTACTAAGCACAGGGTGGCAAGGTGTCTTTGCTTTGTCCTTCTCACCTGTCAACTATCCCGCCTCGCTATGAATTTATGTCCAGACATGACCTTGTTGTCCTGTCCGTGCATGACGTGCATACATGACCTCCTGCACCTATACCCTATCGGCGATATCCGCCCCATATCTCAGACTCCCGCCGACATCATCAGCCGCCCGCCGCTGTTTGTCCCACCGCCTGAGGTGTTTGTCGTCGGCCGACCGTCGTCGACAACTAACAGCTTCGGTCCCGACGGCCCGCGCCGCGTCCGCCGCCCGCGCCACCTTCGGGACCCGGTGCATTGCAAATGGCGGCCGGCGCACAAACACACGCACTCTCGGAGCCTCGTTTGGATTTGGAGATGAGCCAACAGCGCGCGCGCCGCGTATTGCGGATGGGTCAAAAGGCGACCAAAGATAGAAAGCAACTGAAGAGCCATCGCGTTCTGAGTGATGCGTACCGAATATGAGAGTTCAGTTTGTTATCTTGTTCAGGTGGAACAATTTGAATGGCGATAACTATTGATTGAAAATCGACGACTAATTTAGGTACTTCTTAGTGACGCGGCCGTCAACCCGCGCCGGGTCGTGGTGTGTTTGAAGCTTTGAACACCCCTCCTTGGTGTTTTTTTTTTTTAGGTACCTCGTGACGATTTTTGTCATGCCTTTTAGAGCACTTCACGGATAGGCTTTTCAGGATCCGGCCCGGCCCATATCCGGCAAGTCATATCCAGATCCGCCCATTATCCGTGTTTCTTTGAATTTCAAAATCCGGCCCGCCCATGGCCCGTATCTCAGCCATACATCCAAAAAATATCCATAATAATCCGTTTCATTACAAACCGGTTGTGAGACTATCAGCATATCGCCATAAGATCCAAACGTTGGACACTAGGAAGCTATCAAATTGTAATAACAGCAATCTTAGCCACTGCAAAATACATTTTGTGGTAAAAGCTGCATTGCTAAGGATAGGGGTAACACATTGACCTGGACCTCAGCATTTCACAAGGTTGGCTATCATTAGAATTGTTAAGAATCTACTGTGGTCTACCGGGTGGCCCAAAAAAAACGTTCCGAACTTTGGAGGCCTATATCTCAAATTCGAGTGCAAATAACGAGCCAAAATTTTCATCAAGGTAGCGTCACTTCTTTGCGCATTGGTATGCCAAATTATAACACTGTAACATCATTTTCAAGCCAGCAATCTTATGTTGAATTAAGTAACACGTTTTTGCTTTTTTTGCCGATGTTGAACGGCAGTAATGATTGGCTTAGACGTACCATGTTAGAAAAAAAAGAATGAAAAGATAGAACACGTGAATGAAACCAGAACGCGTGTTGTTATTTTAAATATTTTTGTCCCACTTATGTGCCAAATATTCAAATACTGAGCCAAAATAGTGTTAATGGATGCCATTTGTTTTAACAAGTCCTATTTCGAGCAGGAGTGGCACGGTGCATGGGTTACTGATGATCGCCCTCCCTTCAAGAAGATCAACTAGTTATCGACCGAATAAGGAAAAAAGCTAGAGGGAATGTGTCATCCTGAGGCCTTAACCATCAACGAGACTAGTTGCCAGTAGCAGTCATGGCTGCAGGCCGTGGTGCCGAGATGGAAGTGGCCCGCTCACTCATATTTTTTAGTAAAAATCTGAGCAAAAAAGTAATTTTTACATGGCATGCTAGAAACACGAACCATTTAAAAAGTAATTGACTGAATAACATAAAAATCATACCATTTACTGAAAATGTATGCCGCATTGACTATTAAAAGTTTCAATGTTGTATCTTTATCACTTTCTGAGAAATATTGATTTAAAGTTGGGAACGTTTTTTCTGGGCCACCCGATATAAAAGGAAGAGTACTTATTACGGAGCGAGCGAAGCGAGCGAAGTCTTTCCTTAGATTAACGGAAATTTCTGAGTATGAGCAGCCGGCCGGCCGGCCGGCCGGCGGGCCGGCCGTGCGGACGCTTTTGCGAGGCTTATATCTCAGCAACCACTTGACCGATTTACACGCGGTAATTTTTGTAGGGTAGCTTCATTCCTTCTACCAAGTATTGGACTATTCCCGATGCATGTGGGTGACCACTTATGCACGTGCCAGTGCCACGTGCAAAACGAAGAGGTGTCAGTTTTGTAATTGTTGCAATATCTCGATAGCTACTTGGCCGATTTCGCTGAAAGTTGGCATGTAGGTAGGCACCCACTAGGCACTGCATATCCATGTGCCAGAGTTGGGGTGCTGCTGCACGTGCGCACGTGCAGGGGTCGTTTCCAGATCTCGAGAACGGCTGGACCGATGGCGCTCAAATTTGGTACACGGTTAGGGACCAGTTAGTAGGGTGTCGTGCACAAGTCAGTTGGGACCCATTTTGCACGTGCGCACGTGCAGGGTGCCGCTCCCAGATCTCGAGAACGGCTGGGCCGATTGTGCTCAAATTTGGCACATCGCTAGAAACCGGTCAGTAGGGTGCCGTGCACAAGTCAGTTGGAGGTACCCCTCGAAATTTCGCACGTGCAAGACTCACCCCCTCGCTCGCTCCGTTAGTCGCCCCAAAAGGCGCTATACTGGTTCTAAATTATATAGCAAAACCACAATCAATTAGTAAGTCAAATGGTAGGTAATAATAAGTATAATACAATGAATAAATAAAGTTTCATGACATTGGCAACATTCTATATGGGAAAAGGCAGAATCAAAACACCTCAAAACACATTGTTTGGAAACTAGCCTTGGAATGTGGTCTGACACACTCTACAAAGAATTTGACACTGAAAACCCAGCTGAAAAGGTAGGTATTAAATAGCCTTGAGCCTGACTTTGGTCCTAAAATGAAAGGAAGATAAGTTAAACCGGCATTTTGTCGTATCAACAAGACGACACAACACAATACACAGACAAAATTGACGATAGTGGCGCAAAAAAGCAAGCAAGGATTGATTTTTTTTTTTAAGATCCGCTCTCTCTTTATGAAATAGGCGAGCTGATGACGTAATATTGATTCGTTTACCCTTTAAGTTGAATTTCTGATCAGAAAATATTTTTTGGCGTCATTTACACTGAAAATGTTGATAACATCAGAATTTAATAATATCGTCTTGGATCGTTTTTATTTCTAAAAAAAATCATCCACGAGGCATTGCGCCAAGTTTAAAACTTTTTTTTGCAGCGTTTTATTCAACTGGTTAAAAGCATC